CAACAAGATAGACAAACCCTTATCTAAACTAAGAGACAGAGAGAAAATATCCAAATTAATAAGATTAGAAATGAACAATGGATACAACAAGAGGCACCAAGGAAATCCAAAGAATCATAAGGGCATACTTAAAAACCTGTAGTCTACCAAATTGGAAAATATAAAAGAAATGAATAATTTTGTGATAGGTACCATTAACTAAAGTTCAATCAAGATCAGATAAACAATTTAAACTGACCTATAACCCCTAATGGAATAGAAGTCACATGTCTCCCAACCATAAAAGTTGAGGACCAGAAGGTTTTAGCACAGAATTCTACTAGACTTTCAAAGAAGAGTTAATGAAAATAAAAGTTTATTTTCACTCTTTTTGTTTTGTTTTATTTTTGTTTTGTTTTTTGTTTTTTCGAGACAGGTTTTCTCTGTGTAGTTTTGGTGCCTGTCCTGGATCTTGCTCTGTAGACCAGGCTGGCCTCGAACTCACAAAGATCCGCCTGCCTCTGCCTCCCAGTGCTGGGATTAAAGGCGTGCGCCACCACCGCCCGGCTTATTTTCACTCTTTTCTCAATTAAATCATACATGCCAGTAATCCCCATATTATTCCACAAACAAGAAACAGAAGGAACATTACCCAATTCATTTTATGAAGGTACAATTACCCAGATACCCAAACCAAATAAAAACTCAACAAAGAGAATTACATACCATTTTCCCTCATAAACATTGATGCAAAAATATTCAGTAAAATACTTGCAAACAGAATACAGGAACACATCAAAAAAATCATCCACAGTGATCAAGTAGGCTTCACCCCAAAAATGCAGAGATGGTTCAACATATGAAAATCAGTAAATGTTATCCACCTGCCTTCTATCAATTTATTCATAAAATTTTTCACACAAAACTGAATGTGGAACGCAATATTCAGAACTCCTAGAAACTAGACCTTCAGTTTTCCAATCTGTCTTCCCCTGAACATTAACAGTAATACTTGTGTGTGGACACTGGACAGTGCTATACAAATATTACCAGTTCCCATGGCTAGGGCTGTAGAGCCTCCCCCACCCCAAGGGAATCCACATTTAGGGAGGCTCAGAGGCTAAGGGCCACTGTCCAGGCTACCACATGGACAAACAGAACCACAGAGTGGCTCACAATTCATTCTACTCCAAGAAGCTTGAACTTGGATAGTTCAGTCAATCTGCTTGCTATTCCTGGTGTGGAGTCAGTGGCCCCCACACTCACCATAGCATGGTTTGTGGTCTCCCTCACATTTCCCTAGAGCAGAACCAGAGAGAATCGTGGAAAGAATCTGCATGCTACCTATCACTAGAGCTCCTGATTGCTAAGCCTTCTCAGAGTTCCTCAATAGCTAGGGCCACCCAGTTGGGCCTCGGGACAGTAGCAGCTCCCCCACGGGGTGAGCAGAAATCAAATGACTCTGACATCACAGGCCCTCTCAGCTCTACCCTTCCATCCCAGAAGACAGGGCCCTAGTCTGGGAAATTTGTAGTTTAGCAGAATTGTCCATTCTCCCAGAACACTTTCTATTCTTTTTCCAATGTACAGGGTCCTTTATGTGCACATTCCATTACACACTCAATGTCCAGTGTAGTCAACCCATTGCTTCATATCTGGGAATTCTTACAATCAAACATAGGTCACATTCAAACAGTAACTGTTGTTAAAGCAAAAAGAGGCCATGGACTGAAAAACAATAGTCTATGGGAGGTCGTGGAGGCAGAAAAGATATGGTGGAAATGATGTAATTATAATTATACCAAAAAAATGATAAAAAGTTGAAGCCTGGTGGTAGTGGCGCACGCCTTTAATCCCAGCACTCAGGAGGCAAAGGCAGGCGGATCTCTGTGAGTTTGAGACCAGCCTGGTCTACAGAGCAAGATCCAGGACAGGCACCAAAACTACACAGAGAAAATCTGTCTCGAGAAAAAAAAAAAGAAATTACACACACACAAAAAAAAAATGATAAAAAGTTAAAAACAGGCTTTATGGCCATGTGCTCCAGAGACTAGGGACTTATATAAAAGCACAAAAAGTATTACTCATGCCATTTCTCTTGGACTGTACATCTTAAACTGGAAAATACAGTCAAGTTAGGCAGGGCCACACCATTTTACCCAGATCTTCTATTTTGCTTGAACTAGAGTAACTACTGTAATTTTGTTTCACAAGAACTTCAGTTCTGTATCCAGATTCTTGATTGACTGGTCTGTGGACGAGAGAAATGGCCAGTCAGGACATTTATCAATCATCTAAAATTGATTACCTCACTACTCACTGCTAATGTCAACTACTATCACAAGAGGAAAGCTTTCACCCTTCTTGCCCATCCCTTTCTGTGCTGTGACTACACCTGCTTTACAGTTGGTTCGTGAATGCAATTCTTACACAGGTCCCACTTCAACTGTAAGTTTCCAATAAAAGTCAGAAAGGTTGGAGGACACTCATTAGCTGGTCTATTTTTTTCCATCTCACAGACCAGTCATAGCCCAGCTTGGAAGGAGTTATAGGACTGTCTTCCCAGCCCTGGGCAGCAAAGGCAGGATTAAATGTTCAAAGCAATTCTCAGTTACATAGTGTGAGACAAGCCTGAGCTACAGGAGACATTGATTTAAACCAGTGGTTCTCAACCTTCCTAATGCTGTGACTCTTTAATACAGTTCTTCATGTTGTGATCAAGACCTAACTATAAGATTATTTTCACTGCTACTTCATAACTATAATTTTGCTACTGTTATGAATTGTAATATAAATATATCTGTGTTTTCTGGTGGTCTTGGGCAACCAAGATGTGTTTGACGCCCCCAAAGGTAGCCTCGACCCCACAGGTTGAGGACCGTTGCTCTAAACTGATAAATGAATAAAGAGCACTTTAGAAAAATAGAATGAAATTCATAATGATCGAGAAACATAGAAAAATAGAAACAAATAGAGATTAGACCAGTAATTCATTTAAAGAAAATGAAATTGGCTGGGCGGTGGTGGCCCACACCTTTAATCCCAGCACTTGGGAGGCAGAAGCAGGCAGATCTCTGTTAATTCGAGGCCAACCTGGTCTACAAAGCAAGTTCCAAGACAGCTAGGATTGTTACACAGAGAAACCCTGTCTCAAAAAAATCAAAAAAGAAAATTAAATTGATAAAATGATATCAATACCTGCCCTTTTTTGTTGTTTTTGTTTTTGTTTTTTTGAGACAGGGTTTCTCTGTGTAGCTTTGCGCCTTTCCTGGAACTCACTCTGTAGCCCAGGCTGGCCTTGAACTCACAGAGATCCACGTGCCTCCCGAGTGCTGGGATTAAAGGCATGTGCCACCACTGCCCAGCCTGACTTTTTAAAATTATAAAAATTGGAAGAACATTAGACTATCCTGACTTTGGAACAGAGTAGGCACTTCCCTGGTAGAGAGAATGCCATTAATAAGACATTGTATGACTTTGTCCCATATAAAATGTTAGCTGCTGAGTGCTGTAAGCTGACAAAGATTGACAGCCTGTGTCTCAGACCTCTGAGCTGACTCAACTGTGTCAATCAGGACTGCACATATCTACATAAGAGAGTTCCTTAACTGGAAACTGAATACTCAGTAGCTACCCTCCCTAAATTGTACACCCACCATTGCTCTCTGTGTTCATTCACATGGTAAGAATTAATTCATTGAGAGAAATTGTACAAAAAGTCACTCACCATGCCCCAGCAGGTCATTCTTTATGATGGAGACCCCCGCAGCTCACTGCCTTAAACTTCAGTCTGTGATCTAGCTATTGTCTAGTCTGTTTCCCCTTGCTGTGTGCACAGTACACTGTTTCTCCTCTTCTGGTCTGAAGGGAGAAGCCAGGCCCCAAACAAATCTTTTTCATGTTACTGCAATGGACAGTCCACTATGTGACTCAAAGTGGTCATTTTAGAACTCTGTGGGGCTACAGACCTGTAATCCAAGGATTCAGGGTGGTTAGTCAGGAGGACAGCAAGGGCAATGCCCTGTGGGGCTACAGGCATGGTTCAAGTCCACCTCAATCAACATAGGATGCCTTGACTAAAAGTCTCTTTTCAAAAAGGCTGAAGATAGAGCTGTTCTAGAATTAATACACCTTCATGGCACACCAGGACTTAATGTTGGTTGTGATCCTGTAATGGCCCCTTGAGCTGTATGTTAGAGGCCTGTTCTTTAATGGGGGAATGGGCCTTTTGGCTGGTTGTAAATCAGGGTTGTCTAAGTCGTGGGAATTGTAGTTTAAGCACTGGATAATCCTAGTGAACAAACAAACATTTACATTTTTAATCATACTGATCTCTTAACAGGCATGATTTGCATACTACTTATCTTTGGGGAATTTGGGAGGCAGTCCTCCCTTAGCTAAATTCTACTTTGTGTGACTTAATGTCTCCTAAGCATTGGTAAATCCTTATACCATCAATTCTATTATCATCAATTCTACTCTTCTACATCACAGTTTGGCAGTGGAGTGCTACTCTACACAGGAGATACTGTATACAAGCTCCAAAAAATTAACTCCAGACGGATCCTACACCTAAATGTTCAACGTTAAAAATGCAGAACTTCTGGAAGATACTAGAGAGACCAGGGCTCTCAGAGTTTGGCAGATCTGTCTTCCACAGAGACAATACGAGCACTACCGGCTCCAGCTTTACAGTGACGTCAACAACCAGGGTATTTCTAAGCACAGTCCTGCTCCCAATGCTTTGCGCAAACTCAGCCTGAGTAGTGAAGTTATTCAGAGGCTGCCTACCCGGCCCAGGGAGTTGCAAGACCACGCAAGACCGATCGCGCAGGACTGACCGGTCAGGAACACGCTGAACTCTGCATCTGCCCGCTGGCTCCCACACAGCCCCGGGAAGGACCCACCACATCGGCTCCCTCGGCTCGAGCGAGCGCTCCTCCCATGCTGGGGACAGCGTCCCCTTGCTCACCAATGGCCCGCCACACCTCCCCATCTGGAGACAGCAACCCCTCACTCACCATGGTGCAGCTTCCGGACTCCCCAGAGCTCTTCCCACAGCTTCCTACAGCGGAGCCAAAGGCGTAGCACTGAGTACAACTTCCGCCTTCCTTAGCAGGCTGCACAATTTCCGACCTACTCTTCAGAGGGGCTGAGCCAAGAGCCAGTTTTCCCGGAAGAACCCTCCCATCTTGCTGGCGGGTCCGTCAGAGGCCCTGATTGGCTAGTGAGGCCTGAGTGACAGGAGTGCTTCTCCTGGGGACCAGGAGAACTGAAGGGACACAGCACAGTGATTCCCAGCCCTGGCTTCTAAACGAAGCACAAACCTATCCCAGATTGGATGCAGATTTCTGCCAATTACAACAGCAAGTTTCTTGTTAATATAAACCAATAGGTTCAATTTTAAAAAGAAAGTGTACAAATTCAAGAGGAGGTTAATCAGACAATATAGCACAAGAGGAACACCATGTATCTCAAGAACATAATGAACAAAGTTCACAGTGGCCCTGGGACTGATAACCATAGACCGATGTGTGTAAAGAGTTAGGTTCTCAGGATCTGAAGCAACCCCTTCCCAAAGTCCCTGATTCCATATCGTAACCAGCTCTCCCAAGCAAATTCCAGAGTTTAGAGACGGAATCCTGTTTTTGCTCTATACATTAGGGCCTTAGAGAAAGCTCCCAAGGCCTAAGCAGGCTGCCAAACTCAATGAGGCCTAGTTATTCAAATATTATCTAAAAGTTCTGTACTTTGCACCTGACATTTAGGTGTAAGATCATTTGCAGGTAATTTTGAGGAGGTTATAAATGGCCTCTCATGTACTGGGTAGCACTCCACTACTAAGCTGTGATGTAGAAGAGAAGAATTGGTGATATTAAGGATTTACCAATGCTTGGGAGATAGTAAGGCACATAAAGTAGAATTTAGCTAAGGGAGAGCTGCCTCTAAAATACCCCAAAGATAAGTAGTATGTTAACCAGGTTTGTCAGAGACAGGATATTAGCATGTAAATGTTTGTTCACATTTTATGTATATCGTTATTGGTCTCATGTCTATAGTAAAAACAGCTAATGGGATGCTCACCCATGGAGAAGATAAAGAGACCCTCTGCATAAAGATCTCTTTATAGTAAGCTAGGGCATCATGGTTTTAAGAGGGATATCTTAGTTGTGTTGTACTGGATGCTGTAAACATCAATTTTATGATGTTTTGTTATGTATTTGCTGTTTCTCGGTATTGACTACATACTCACATTAAAATTCTAAAGTATGCTTATAGTAGTGATGCCATGTATTGTATGAATACTGTCTTGTGTTTTCTCTAAGGTTTAGTTTGACAGATTGTAACTAGGAAATATTATTTCTTACATTATCTTATACACAGTTTCTATTCAGGTTTCTTTTATTTAATTCTTATTTTTCAGTACTACATTAAACAATTGCCTCTACCTATGATCAGCTGTGCCTGCTTACAAAAGATGACCACCCCCAGATTTGCAGACTGTTAATAGTCCATCATAGAAGAAGGTATCCCATCCTTATGAGTATTCAGCCTCTTTCCCAGGCAACTGTATGCAAATCAGCCCTAATGATATGTGACCTTGTGGTTTACAGAGAAGCTACAGTACATGGCCTGGTAAAGACTTCAGAGGACATGGGTTCTGCATATGTACCTATAAGAAAGTCATCTTTAAAAGAAGGAATTTACCTTCAATGCTATCAGGCTTACCTCTTTTGTACACTGAGAAATGTAATGTAATGTAGAGTATATGGGCAGTGGAAGAAGTTAGAGAAGGTGAGCTCCACATATACAGCTATGGGAGAGCCATTGCACATACTAAGTGGAGACATGCCTGTGTGGCTGCTTTTGGGTATCTGTCTTAATTAGATTTTCTATTGCTGTGGAAAGACACCATGACTATGGCAACTCTTACAAAGGAAAACATTTCATTGGGGCTGGCTTACAGTTTTAGAGTGTTTAGTCCATGATAATCATGGCGGGAAACATGGTGCTGTGCAGGCAAATATGATGCTAGAGAAAGAGCTGAGAGTTCTACATCCAGATCATCAGGCAGCAGATAGTGACTGTGACAAACTTCCTGCAACAAGGTCACTCCTTCCTCAACAAGGCCACTCCTACCTCAACAAGGCCACTCCTACCTCAACAAGGCTACTCCTACCTCAACAAGGCCACTCTTACCTCAACAAGGCCACGCCTACCTCAACAAGGCCACTCCTACCTCAACAAGGCCACTCCTACCTCAACAAGGCCACTCCTACCTCAACAAGGCCACGCCTACCTCAACAAGGCCACACCTATCTCAACAAGGCCATGCCTACCTCAACAAGGCCACTCCTACCTCAACAAGGCCACACCTACTAATAGTGCCACTCCCCAGGGGACAATGAGGGCCATTTTGATACAAACCATCACAGTATCCAAGCTTCTGTAAGTATCTTCTCAACCATGTTCAGTAGGTAAGCTCAATAAATTCATTGTTTCCCCAGGGTGGACTTTGGTGTAATTGTACTTTACATTGTAGTTGGGACTTATGGGGGTAGAAAAGACATTGTTTTGTCCCCCTCCACCAGCGATAAAATTCTCACAACAGATCATAAATATTATTTGTTGATGTTCCTAGGTCTCATGGTATTAGATAAAGGAACCTGTACATTTAAAAAAAAATGTTAGAAGAATGTAAATACGGAAATGAATTCAGTAAAGGAATTAGATACATGAAAATGATAATGACTGGGTGGCTCCAGAATAACAAGGATTGGAAAGCTCTGGCAAGTTATGAAGATCTGAATAATAATTTAAGGTACATAACAGATGAGATTTAGAGATCATATCTTGTATTAAAGTTGGCAAGGTCAGATATCAACTCTTTCAAGAACTGGCTAAAATATATTGGTGCATGAATCTTAAATGGTCTTATAATAAAAACCCAGAGCCAGATATCAGGGTGAAAGCTGAAAAACCAGAGAAGCAAAGCAAGCCACAGCTACTACCTCTTACCTCACCAACTCCTCAGCTTGACAGAGCTTCTGCAAGGGAGAGAAAATTTCCTATCTCCTCACGCCTTAGGTTCCTTTCTCTGCCCAGCCATATTACATCCTGTTTCAGCCTTCCTAGTGCTGGGATTAAAGGTGTGTGATCCCAAATGCTGGAATTAAAGGTGTGTGTCACTACTGCCTGGCTCTATTTCTTTTTTAGACTGGATTAATCTGGTGTAGCCCAGTGTGGCCTTGAACTCACAGAAATCCAGACAGAGCTGGGTGGTGGTGGTGCATACCTTTAATCCCAGCACTTGGAAGGCAGAGGCAGATGGATCTCTGTGAGCTCAAGGCTAGCCTGGGCTACAGAGTGAGTTCCAGGAAAGGCGCAAAGCTACACAGAGAAACCCTGTCTCAAAAAACAAAACAAAAAATAAATTAAAAAAAAAACAAACAAACAAAAAAAAGAAATCTAGACAGATCTCTGCCTCTGCCTCCTGAGAGCTAGGATTAAAGGTGTGTGCCACCACTGGCTGACCCCTGTGGCTAACTCTGTGGCTGGCTCTGTCCTCTGATCTTCAGGCAAGCTTTATTTCTTAGATTACAAATATCACCACAATATATGTCAATCAAAAGTTTACTGAGTTATATCTGGCTGTAGAAATATTATACCGTAGTTAAAAGTACCAAACTGGTGTAAAGCTCGTCTTCTAGGTGTTTAATAATCATTCTTATTATTATTCTTATTAGAAGGCAATTCTAATGAGGGACTGAAAGGACTAAGGCCATTGATCACTTGTCTTGTTCATGGAGGCCACAGAGACCCCATTCAATGAATTTGAAACACTGTCCAGGGCTGGAGAGATGGCTCAGTGGTTAAGAGCACTGACTGTTCTTCCAGAGGTCCTGAGTTCAATCCCAGCAACCACATGGTGGCTCACAACCATCTGTAATGAGAGCTGGTGCCCTCTTCTGGCCTGCAGGTATATATGCAGACAGAATACTGTATACATAATAAATAAATAAATCTTAAAAAAAAAAAGAAAGAAACACTGTCCAGTCTACAAAGTGGGGGGGGGGGGGGGGTCAATGTGGAAAAGATTTACTCAATGCTTCAAAGGAAGCCACAATACATAAAGAAAAGCCTTTGTCTTATCTTTACACTCTTTACACTGAAGAAAACCAAAAGAAAGGCTAGAAGAGTCTAAGGTTCCTCTCAAGCCCAAGTGACCCCTCAATACTAATTGCTCAACTTGTCTTGATAGCACAGAAAGAAAGATTAATTTTTGCTATCTGCATGGTCAGTACTCAGGAGGAAAGTTTAACCAAAGACTAAGAGAATTGGTAACCACCCAAGGGATTACATTCCACAGACATTAGACAAAGTCTACATGAGATGTTATTTAGACAACCAATCTCACCAATATTTTCTTCTTCACAAAAAGATGTTGCCTAGAGGTGAGATGTCAGACATTGTCTCACTGAGCACCTGCCAACAGCCGATGCAGATAGGCCCATGATTGTTTTAACCCCCAAATTAAATGATGCTAAATACCTCTTCTCTCCCTATCTAGGACCCACATGGGAAGGGCACCATGATGATGAAACAGGGTGTGAAAGCTGATTGTGGACTCACCACTCTGGAGACCAACCCTAGAGATCAAAGGAAAGATCTAATAGATGGAAGCTATTGTGAGGCCATCAAGAATGTCTTATGGACTGTGACATTTTCCAGACACCAGTAAAGGAATTGCTATCTCCTGTACATCTGAGAGTTTGGACTTTATGGGAGGCCCTCTGGAAGGGCATCACAACACTGCCACCTAATGCCCCAAATTCAGCTGGAAGGAGACAGATTAGTCATTGCTTCAATCTCATAATAGCAGTTGAGGTAACCTCTTCAGAGGAAGATAGGATTAAGAATTGGAGGTAGAAATGGACTAGGCAGTTTAGTGCTGTGGGATGTTCTGTATGTTAAATGTGTTGCTCTGATTGATTAATAAATAAAACACTGATTGGCCAGTAGCCAGGCAGGCAGTATAGGCAGGACAAGGAGAGAGGAGAATTCTGGGAAGTGAAAGGCTGAGTCAGAGAGACGCTGCCAGCCGCTATGACAAGGAACATGTAAAAGAT